TTTTGTAAAGTCAACATGGAGGACAATTCCGATAGAAACAGTTGTAAGATTGGAAAACGAATGGAAAATGTTGACTATGGGAAGCAAAACTCCGGAGTGAGGAGAAGTTGGACAGGAACCTTTTGCTGATAGTCTGTGCGAGTTGATTTTGTTAAAACTGTACTTGTATTACTGTATGAGAAATAAAAATAAAATGAAATTCAAAAACGAAAAGCGAGAGAGAAAAAATGCTCGCGCTGCTCTAGGGCCTCTTCGTTGCGTTTTAAACACCACAACCCACCCCCCACCCCCATGATCTTGCTAGCTTTTGTCTATGCAATCAGCAAGAATGTACTCTGAGCATTTAACTTTGATTGCATTTCAATAACAAAAGGGGCCTAGCGGTGTTAGTTGTCATGTGATTAGCACTCATTTAGCATTAGTGGGTTTGGTTAACGTGTTGACATAGGAAAAGGGTTACAGATTTATTAGTTGTAAAACCTGGCTAAATGACCAGTTCTGGTATAGGAGTCGGCACCTGTGAATTCACTTCCGTATTTGCTTCATTAAAACGACGTTCTTAACAAAGTGAGGGCCCAGAGTATCGGTTCCTGAGCTTCTGTGTGTGCCTAGGAATTCCTCGAGGCCATGGGGGAAATGCAGATTCCCGGGCCTGGCCTAGAAATCCCCTTTCTTTCTTTCTTTCTTTCTTTCTTTCTTTCTTTCTTTCTTTCTTTCTCTCTTTCTTCTTTCTTTCTTTCTTTCTTTCTTTCTTTCTTCCTATCTTGGATTTTGAGGTAGTTTGAGCAGGGATGAGAAAAATTACTGTAAGACAATGCCCAAGTTCCTTCTTCTTATTATTCAAATTCTGATTCTTTTTTAAAAAATATTTTCACTGATCTCAGAGAGGAAGAGGGAGGGAGAGAGATAGAAACATCAATGATGAGAGAGAATCACTGATAGGCTGCCTCCTGCACGCCCCCGACTGGGGGTTGAGCCTGCAACCTGGGCCTGTGCCCTGGCCGGGAATCGAACCGTGACCTCCTGGTTCATAGGTTGACGCTCAACCACTGCGCCATGCCAGCTGGGCTAAATTCTGCTTCTTTATGTGTTTGGTGTTGCCCAGGAATCTGGGTTGTAAGCACGTGTCCTGGGAGATACGTGTCATCCAGGGGCACCTGCGGGAGCCACCGACACACTGACTGGCTGGCTCGTATCAGACAGACCTGAGCTGGTTGGCTTTTCCTTTAATGTATTTCTCAATGACACGCAGGCAGCCCCAGAGGGAACAGCGTACCGCGCGCTCGGAGAAGCGTGCAGGGTCAGTAGCTGGATGTGCGCTACACGGGAGGAGTGGCGTAGCTTACGCAATAAGATCAAGTTCCTGGCTGCCATCCTGGAATAACATGAACTCAATTCATTGGTTTCCAGCTGGACACGAACCAAAAAAAAAAAAAGAGAGAGAGACGAATATGTGTGGATTCAGAGAAGGTATTTAAAGAAATACTACACAGAAGGAGGAAGGCTGAGGGTACCTGGAATTCCCAAAATCACCAGTCAGAGTGACAATTCTCAAATGGGTCACAAAGTGATACTCCAGGTTATACATTACGCATCCATCCACTTGTCCTCACCCATCACAGCCTTCTCTGAATCACTGTCTGTCCCTCCTTCCTCCTCTTTTCTCCTGAGTAGGTTGTGAAGGCTCACAATTGACACGGACAGTTAAAAAACCAAGGTACCTGAACCAGCACAGTGTGCGCCACGTTTAAGAAGAAAAGGTTTAAGAGGAGTTGCCGTCCATTCCTGTAGCGCAGTGTGTGGTTCTCAACCTTGGCTGCACGTGAGAATCACCTGGGAATCTTTTTAAAATCCTGATTTCTGGGCCTCATCTTCCGGAAATTCTGTTTCTTTGTTACTAATGTTGTGGCCCCACCCCATCACAAAGAAACAGAATTTCCAGAGGATGAGGCCCAGAAATCAGGATTTTAAAAGGATTCCCAGGGGATTCTCATGTGCAGCCGAGGTGGAGAACCACTGCTGTAGTAGAAGCTCCGTCAATGCTCTCAGGTGCGTAGGCCAGGGCTGGACCGCGCAGTGACTGCCGCCTTCCTACCGCAAATCTCAGCCTTCGCTGCTTCCCTTCCCCTCTCGACGGGGAGGGCCACGTGGACCAAGCCCTCCTCCTGCTGCTCGTGCCCACGGCTGCCTGGGGGATGGTGCCCGTGGAAGTGTGACCACGGACTTCGAGACCCGCCCTTTCTCTAGAAACAACGGTGAGGAGGAGGAGGGGGGCGGTGGCGGCGATGGTGGCTAACATTCACCGAGAGCTTACACTTGGCCGTGGACACTAAGTGATAGGAGTGGCACAAACCATTATTATTCCCTTTATTATTCCCATTTTATAGGTGAGAAGACGGAGGCCCAAAGAGGTTAAATAACGTGTCCAAACTCAAATAAATAGTAACTAGCTTCAAACTCAGGCAATCTGGTCCCAGTGCCCAACTCTTTACCTGATGCTTTAAAAATATGTATGTTTATTGATGTCAGAGAGGAAGGGAGGGGGAGAGATAAAAATCAATGATGAGCGAGAATTGCCTCCTGCACGCCCCACACTGGGCATGGAGCCCGCAACCTGGGCATGTGTCCTGACTGACAATCGAACCGTGACCTCCTGGTTCATAGGTTGATGCTCAATCACTGAACCACGCTGGCAGGCCTTACCTGGTCCATTTTATGACCCTCCCACACCCCCCGACCCCAACCCCAACCCCAACCCCAACCCCAATGCCTCAACAAAGTCAGGGGTAGTTGTTCAAATGAAGACTCTAAGAAAGGGGCTCCTATTGGTGGTTATTTCCGCCTCATTTTGGGAGCAGCAACCCATTATTTACGAATCCAGTGATGCAATAGGTTGGAGCTGCCGTGGGGACCTTTGCTATCTCTTTCACCAGAGACTTTTATTGTTAATGTGCTGTGATTTCAATACAGCCTGGGTTGTGCTAGGCAGTACTTAAGCCTCGATCAGGATCCACATACAGAAACCCACGGCCGAGAGAAGAGCTATCTGCTTTCAAGTGGAAGCAATTAAAAGATAATTTGATGAAATCGAAACCAAGCCCTTATCTGATGATAAGGCCATTTCTTGGCAGGTCCCTCACGTGTAACCAGAAGAGTCGCCGGTCCGGGACAGCAGGTCTTGGCGAGGGATCTGGGTTAGATGTGGTCGCCCTGGGCCTGACACTGAGGGAAAGGGGTCCTCACTCCCCGTTCTGCTGCCTCGGGCTCTGGCCTTGGCTTCACCTGAATCGGCACAAACCCCGCCCGGAACCAGGCAGCCAGGAGGCAGGGCTCGCGCAGAAAACACCTGCCCAGCACGTGCTTGTTGACACATTTCCCCGCGGACAGGAAATGCGTGGACAGCATGGGCTCCGGGGACCACACAGGCCTCTGGGGGCCGGAGTCCCCAGTTCTCTCTGCGTTGAGCCGGCCTCAGGAGGGGGTGACTGCCCAGCTCCCAGACTGGACTGTTGAGCAGTGCGGTAGTCAGCCTGTTGAAGGGAGGGAGCTGATCTGGTAATTACAGGGGAGCAGCCCGGCCTGAGCTTCGAGGCGGGGCAGAGGAGGCGAGGCCCCGGGAGCTGAGTGGGCGGCGATGATGGGGAGCCTGGGTGGGTGCTGCGACTTACCTTCCAGATGCTTCCTGACTTGCACACAAATGCCATGACGCAGCCGTGTGGGCGCACGGGAGTTGGTACTTCGTTTTTCTTTTTTTAATATATTTTTATTGATTTCAGAGAGGAAGGGAGAGGGAGGGAGAGAGAGGAACATCCATGATGAGACAGAATCATGGATGGGCCGCCTCCTGCACGCCCCACACTGGGGATCGAGCCCGCAACCCGGGCCTGTGCCCCGACCTGGGATCGAACCGTGACCTCCTGGTTCATAGGTTGATGCTCAGCCACTGAGCCACGCCGGCCGGGCTGCACTTTGTTTTCTATACCGAGAGGCCAGAGGGGTGCGCGTGGCTCCCTCAGAATATGTGAGCGCTCAGCGGATGGTGTCCTCATTGAGACTAGATCCGGTCCTATAAAGGTGGAAAAAGCCAAATAGACCCACGAGGAAAGGCAGTGTGTCTCCAAGACAGAACACAGGCGTCATCCCCGGCCCCTGAGAGCGACAGGCATTTTCAAGAGGAAAGGACGAGGAGAGAGGCAGCAAGTTAGAGGCAGTCCAGAAGCCAGCGCAGCAATCGGAAGACAATGCGGTTCTTGAACCAACGAGTCAGCATGAGTTTCATTTGCATCTTTGACAAATAAACCCAGACGGAATGTGGGTTCAGGAAGAGAGGAAAGTTCTAGAAATTTGGGGGAATCAAAATTTTAGGAAGACGGGACCACTGAATTTACTTCGAGTTTCCTGATGTATGGACAAGGACGATAAACCGCTGTGCTGGTGCCGTGGAGGAGCAGAGGCAGGGCTTCCGAGCGGGTCTGCTGCTGCCTCCTGTGTTCTTGCTCTTATTCCAACTACCTTGGGATGCCCCCTCGGAGCTGTGTCAGGCCCGAAAGGGCGACTTTCTGAATTTCAGTGTCTGATCTCAGGTTAGAGTTAGCCTGTAAGTGTTCAAGGATGACAGTCAGCTGCCTGGGGCTTTTATTATGTGGACTAGAGGCTGGTGCATGAAATTCGTGCACAGGGATGGGGGTCCCTCAGCCCAGCCTGCGCCCTCTCGCAATCCGGGACCCCTCTGGGGGATGTCAGGCCTAAACTGGCAGTCGGACATCCCTCTCGCAATCCGGGACGCTGCACGCACCAGTGACCGTACTTTTCACGCAGGTGAAAGGCATCTTGCTGTTGTACGGGCAGCTACATTTTTTTGCCCTGATTATAAAAAGTAGTACATAACACGATCCTTCTGAGGCAGTAGCACCATTTCCCCATCTTACCGGTGGAAAAACAGAAGCAGAGAGAAGTTAAGTAATTGGCTTTGTCACACAGTTGTATCAGACTCGGAAGAATTTTTTTTTTTCATAGTTGATATTTGTCATGTTTATTCATCATCTGGTTATGCTCAGTGGATTGCACGTCTCGGGGAACCTCCCAGAGCCTGGGACAAAGGGCTGTGGTCATGGGCTTTGCAGGAGGCTTCACTGGAGTTGGGAGGCTGAGGGCTTTCCCTAGTCCCTTCTGCTGATAGGCAAGGAGGAGGGGCTGTGAGCATCGCCATGTCTTGATTCAGGGATGGCTTTCTCTTTCCTGAACTTCATGACCTGGTAGTCGTCATCATCTTCGTCCTCTGGGACAAAAATGTCATGCTCCTCAAGGAGAGCGGCAACGTTCTTGCTAATGAGCGTCCCAACATAGAGGAAGGGGATCACAGTGGAGAACACACGGAGGAGGCCGAAGGACATTTTCACTGGTTTGGGCAAAATGGCGCCGCTGCGAGTAACGATGACTGACCTCGACGGCACCAGGCTCCGACCTGAGCCGCCTCGTCCGGCAGAGATATCCCCATCTTTCTTCAAGCTTGGTCCTCTCTGGAGAGCCCCATATCGAACAGATGCCAATACCAGGCAGCAAGCCGCTCCGGATGCCATCCCCGGCACCCGGACCCCAGCGCCTGGCCCCGGCGACACCCTCACCAAGAACACTGCCCCAAGCCTCACGAGGCTTTTGGAGCAGACGAGAGGCACCAGTTGTTGGGGTCCAACCCCAGCAGGTCCAGGGGTTCCCAAAGGTGTGGACAGAGTTGGCAAAGAAGGAATGACACAGCGACAGCGTTCAGTTGATCAGCAGCCTAGTCAGGTTCTAGCCAGGTTCTAGCCAGGTTCGCCAGCCAGGTTCTGTGTTTTATTGTCTTGTTACATCTGTATTTATACCAGTTGATTTTAATCCTATCAATTTCTATTCCAAAGGTTAGGGTGTTTCTTATCTCCATTCCAGGGAGTAAAGATTATGTAGCTTAAGCGTGATTGTTTGTAGTTAAAGTGATTAACTACCCGCCTGGCACTTAGTTAAGGGGTTTTATTCCCTCCCTAACTTCAGGGAAAAATCCCTACCTGGGGAAACAACCTTTCTCGGAGAGGTGACCTTGGTTAAAACACATGGCGCTAAGGAGAGCAAACATATTAAGAACAGTATGCCATATACGCCAGGTCCCTTGAGACATATGCTGTGCAGATGTTTCTTCCCTGCAGCAACTGTGTCAAGCAGCAAGGATGGACCGGCTTCCGGCAACATACAATATCATATTAGTCTCGGGTGTACAACACAGTGATTAGATGTTTATATACCTTACTAGGGGCCTGATGCATGAAGATTCCTGCAAGAATTGGCCTTCCTTTCCCTGGCTGCCGGCACTACCTTTGTTCTAGCCCAGAGCTGCCTTTCTGCCTTCCCACACTGCCCAGAGGCCCAGAACGCCTGTCGTCATGGCGACAATGCAAGTGTCTGCCCCACCCCCAGCCACTCAGTGCCTGTGTATGCAAATTAACCTGCCACCTTTGTTGGGTTAATTTGCATACTCACTCCTGATTGGCTGGTGGGAGTCACGAAGGTATGGCCAATTGCATCTTTCTCTTTTATTAGTGTAGATAAAGTGATCACCCCAATAGGTATTTTTCTTTTTTTTTTAAAAATATATTTTATTGAATTTTTACAGAGAGGAAGGGAGAGAGATAGAGAGTTAGAAACATCGATGAGAGAGAAACGTCGATCAGCTGCCTCCTGCACATCTCCCACTGGGAATGTGTCTGCAACCAAGGTATATGCCCTTGACTGGAATCGAACCTGGGACCTTTCAGTCCACAGGCTGATGCTCTATCCACTCAGCCACACCAGTTCTGGCGGTATTTTTCTTTAAAAAATATTTTTATTGACTTTAGAGAGGAAGGGAGAGATAGAAACATCAATGATGAAAGAGAATCAATTGGCTGGCTTCTGCATGCCCCCTACTGGGGATCGAGCCCACAACCTGGGCACAACCAGGAATCGAACCATGACCTCCTGGTTTATAAGTTGATGCTCAACCACTGAGCCATACTGGACAGACCCGATAGATACTAGTCCAGCCGTGGGCAAACTACGGTCCGTTTGAAATGAATAAAACTAAAAAAAAAAAAAAGACCGTACCCTTTTATGTAATGATGTTTACTTTGAATTTATATTAGTTCACACAAACACTCCATCCATGCTTTTGTTCCGGCCCTCCGGTCCAGTTTAAGAACCCATTGTGGCCCTCGAGTCAAAAAGTTTGCCCACCCCTGTACTAATCTGATAACACTTTGCCTTCTCTGTCTTGTTTGTGTGACTGTTTCTTCTTTTGATGATAAACATCATTTTATTCTTTATAGAACCCCTCACAGTCCTTGAATATACCAAGTACTCATGTTCACTTTATAAAGAACTCAGAATGTGAGAGTCACTTTTATAGGGTGGATGTCATCTGAAATAGCACAGGGAGGCATTGTGTATAATTAGTTCAATTCTTTCTCCCTTCATCACAGTTTAAGAGCTTCTGGTCTAATTAGCAGATACTAGACCGAAGGCCTGCGTCACACTGATGCTATCACCCCTGAGTTATTAGCTTAAAATATGGGTCTCCATTTCTTCATCGAAAACGACGCGATGTAGTATTTTTAATCTGAGAAAAGTAGTTCCCGTTTTCAGAATTACATTATATTTCTTGGGTGGTAATGAATAGATTTTAAGTCTTACCATGCATGGTTCTGAGCTCTCTTCTGAATTGTAATTTATGAAATATATAATTTGTGCTATTATTATGCTCAAATAGTAAAATCAACCGCCGCTCTTACCGGAGCACGACCCCCGGAGAATGAGGCTCTGGTTGGCAGATTTGCCTCCTACCCTTTACCCCGCGAGGGTCCAGATGAGGCGGTAAGTTAACCAACGGATCAAAGGATGTCAGGCAGGAAGGGGCTGGACTGACAAACTCACTGCCTCCTCTTCAGAGGGACACCGAGGCCCACAGATGAGTCGCTGAAGCTCCGGTCTTCCCACCTGTGCTGTGGCTCCACCCGGGCCTGCGCGGGACTAATTGACCGGCGGGCACCTGGCCGCTGATGAGGATTTCGGACTGGGCTTAGGTTTGAGGAAGGAGCGTGAACTGCAGGCAGAGTCCTCGGGCTGTGGTCCTCTCTCTGCTGTTTATTAGCTGCGCTCTCTCGGGCAAGTTACTAGACCTTTCGGTGCCTCCATCGCTTTGCTAGGTCAGGGTGGTCAGACTAGGTAGACCTATCTGCTGGGTGGTGGTGGGGGGTGTTACGTGTTAATATGCCTTTGAAACAGCCTGAAAGCACTAAAGCTAGTGGTTAAACTCCCACTCATTACTGATTCCTACAAAAAAGTTCAGACAACCCTGAGTGTCCAGCTCTCCCCAAGGTCCCCCCTCCCCCAGCTCCCTCCTCCTCAGAAATCTTCCAAACAGAAGTGGGCAGTTGCATTTTCCAGGATTCGAATGGCTTAAGTCTGGGCAGGGAGGTCAGACACGGGAGCACACGGCCGCCCACAGACAGGGGTGCACACGTGAAGTATGGTAGCAATCATCTCAGGTAGAAACTATAGTTTAACCCTGCTGTTTGGCTTCTGTACTTATTTTCTTTGTTTAACAATAGAAAAGTTATTTTGATTTTCTGAATTATATAAATCACCCCATTGGATTAAATACCCTATTGATTGTACTGTGAATTTCCCATGGGTTGTGGTCATACTGGTCTTAGAAAACACGTTTTCCTTTACCTGGGAAGGACAGCACAATTATCCCGAGGTCAGAGGGCTCCAGTTAACGTGTCCCTGTTGACTCAGTGATCTGGAGACCCCAAAACTAATTTAGATCACATGCTTAAGTAAAACTGCTTCTGCTTCTGTAAACTGCTTTTTTGCAAACCAGGTTCCTCATTCCAAACCCTGGGATGTAATCAATACCTTTGTGATCTTTGCCTATACAAGTCTGGTGTTGGGGCTGGGGCGGGCACGATGAGATCTGGGAGAGCGAAATGCCCCCTCATAGTCCCGGATTTGCAATAAATGTGACTTTAATTCAACTTCTTGAGGCGTCCTTGTGTGATTCGCGGGGTACATTACAACACACGGCCACCCGCAGACAGGGGTGGGCAAACGCAGCCCACGTGGGGGACCCGGGATGGACGCTGGGGTGAACGGATGCTGAGGCACCCCGATCCTTCGTGCAGAAGGCGGTCCTGCACGAGGGCAGCGGGTTCCGCCGGGACAGGTGAGGGGCTGCCCCACCTGAGCCGCCCGCCCCAGGAGCCTTGGGGGCGCGAAGGTGAGTGGGAGGCGCACGCGGCTGAGCGGGCCCAAGTGTGGGCTCCTGCACCGCCTCCGCAGACAAAGGGGCCTCCCCCCAGCCCCCCAGAGCTGGTAGACGGCGCCCCAGGCTGCCCCCAGCCCCCCCAGAGCCGGTAGACGGCGCCCAGGCTGCCCCCAGCCCCCCCAGAGCCGGTAGACCGCGCCCCAGCCCCTCCAGCCCCCCCAGGGCTGATAGACGGCGCCCCGCACGTCGGCCCTTTGTCTGGCGGCCACCCGCTGCCTTTGTCGGCCCCGTGCCTCCGGGAGAGGTGAAGGTGCGCGGACCCGGGGAGGAGACACGGGGGCGGGGTGGGGGGGAGAACCGCAGGCACCCTCCCGGGCAGCGGCCCCAAGAGCCGCCCTCCCGCCCCAGCTGGTCC